GCTATATCTGAACCAATTTTCTCCGAATTCGTTGTATTAGCTTTTAGACTGAATTGGGTCGGATATACCAAAATTCAGGACTTTTGGGCTGATATTGGTCATGTGGTGCACAATTAGCCCTAAATCGGCTGAAGATATATATGGGAGCTATCTGAACCGATCTTGATAAAATTTGGCTGAGGTGCTTCTAGGCTGCATCTGACTTAAACACAGAATAGGATGAAACAGGATGCAATTCCAATGAAATTTGGAATGTGTGTAGAAGTTTTGAAAATAGATTACTCAAATTATATTGAAATCGTTATAGATTTGGAAAAGCTCACATATATATTTTCGGCCGATTTCATGTATTTGATGCACAAAACACGATACGTTTGACAGTTTTTATACCCTCCACCATACTATGGAGGGTATATTAATTTTGTCATTCCGTTTGTAACTCCTCGATATATTCATGTCAGACCCAACAAAGTATATATATTCTTGATCAGCGTAAAATTCTAAGACGATTTAGCCATGTCCGTCTGTCTGTCTGTGTGTCTGTCTGTTTGTCTGTCTGTCTGTCCGTCTGTCTGTCTGTCTGTCTGTTGTAATCACGCTATCTTTCGAACAAATTGAGATAGAAGGCTAAAATTTTGCACACATGTATTTTTTCCCAGTAGGCAGGTTAAGTTCGTAAATGGGCCATGTAGGTCCAAGTTATCATATAGCCCCCATATAACGGTACCTCCCGATATTCGGTATTTTGATGATTTTAGCGACATTATTCACCGGAATTATTTCAAATTTGGCATTTGAAGTTTGCAATGGATGCTACAGCCTAAGACAGAAAATTATCTGTGCAGGTCCACGTCTTCCTGTAGCCCCCATATAACGGTACCCCCGATATTCGGTTTTTTGATGATTTTAGCGACATTGTTTACCGAAATCGTTTCAAATTTGGTATTTGAAGTTCGTAATGGATACTACATCCTAAATCAAAAAATGAGCCATGTAGGTCCACGTCTTCATATAGCCCCCATATAGCGGTACCCCCCGATATTCGGTATTTTGATGATTTTAGCGACATTGTTTACCGGAATCGTTTCAAATTTGGTATTTGAAGTTCGTAATGGATACTTCATCCAAAGTCAAAGAATGAGCCATGTAGGTCCACGTCTTCATATAGCCCCCATATAACGGTACCCCCGATATTCGGTATTTTAATGATTTTAGCGACATTATTTACAGGGATTGTTTCAAATTTCGTATGTGAAGTTCGTAATGGATACTTCAGCCCATGCCAGAAAATTGTCTGTGCAGGTCCACGTCTTCGTATAGCCCCCATATAACGGTACCCCCCATATTCGGTATTTTGACGATTTTAGCTACATTATAAACAGATTTTTCTTCAAGTTTCGCATTTAAATATTGTACTAATTTATGACAAAAGTTGCCTATGCAGGCCTACGTCGTCGTATAAGCATTCGGTATTTTTAAGATTTTAACAGAATTTTTAACGGTTTTTTTTTTTTTTTTTTGGAAATTGCCAAATTTGTACCAAATGGTGGAGGGTATTAAAAGTTCGGCCCGGCCGAACTTACAGCTTTTTGACTTGTTATCTATTTGTTTATCTATTTCCTTTCCTTTTTTCGAAGGAGCAATAGGACACAAGTTACCTTTTACACCAAAAAGTATTTAAGATCTTCCATTTTGAAGCTTTCCTGGGAGGATAACGCCTCCATATGTAAGCCATAGAAAGCAACAGTGACATCAATATCAAATTTTGGCATTCCAGCCCTATCACTACCCCCACTACTCAATTTAGTATCATTTAGTACGCATATGTCCGACTCCAATGAAATTTGACATGAGTGCCTAAATTTGGTTCACAAATACATTTTTGAAATTGTATTGAAATCGGTTCAGATTTGGATATAGATCCCATATATATTTTCGGACGATAATAAATTTGACCAATTAATTGGAAATCGGTTAAGATTTGGATATATATATCCAAATATATATTTTCGACCCATTTCAAGTATAATTGACGCACTAATTTCAATGAAATATTTAAGGTGTAACGGAATTTGCTGTAAAAGTAAATTTTGTCAAATTATATTGAAATTGGTTCAGATTGGGGATACGATTTTATTAAGAAGCATTGACCCACAACGCCTTTACAATGGTATTAGGCTAACAGTATAAAACTACACAACAATTAATTTGAGGATACGATAATTACGGGGAAGCATGTAGATGTAGATTCCTGCACGCATGGCATTTGCTATGAAATTAATAAATCCGAAGGACCAACCCTTCGTGTATGCGGACTAAATTTGACGTGTTCCTGCATTTCTCATGGTCAGCTGTTCCTGTCATTTTCCACGTTGGTAGACCGAGCTATTTGTTTATTTACGCATTACAGTATTACGATTTTTTTTAATTTTTGAGTTTGTGTTATTTTTTAAGCCAACTTATATTCGTTTATCAAATTTTGAAGGCATATAAAAGGAAAAGGTGTAGCGAAGCGCACCGGCTTCAGCTAGTTTATTATAATTTGCGAAATGAGAATCAGAAAATGAAATTTGAAGAGAATAATTTCACACATTCACACATGAAATATATCAGACCACTCCTTCTGGTGCCTCCTCCACAAAGGGCGAACATTTTGAATAATTATATATTTTATAATTTGTATCCTTTTTTAATTTTATAAATTTCATACAATATTTTTATCATCACATAATTAGGTGTGATGATGACATATATCAGACCACTCCACCAAAATTTTGTCAAAAATTTTGAATAACTATAAAGCTCTTAAAAAGGAAAATGAGCATTCAAACTGGGCACATCCCAATATTTCTAGTAACATAAGACCTGGTATGAAGATGAAATATATCGGTCCACTCTTTCTGGAACCTCCCCCACAAGAGGTCAAAGTTTTGAATGGTCAAAACGCTTATTTATGCGAAGAAAGTATCGGATTCCCTTCAAATTGAAGATGATAGATATTAGTCCAACCACAAAGGCTCACAATTTTAAATATTTATATCTCTTATAATTTGCGAAACAATTCAGTGATTCTTTTAAAACTAGGTAACATGAGATCTGACACGGACATAGAATTCATCTGCTCACTCCTTCTGGTACCTACCCACAAATGGTTAAAATGTTGATCAATTGTTCGAATTAACATGGAAATAAATATTAGATTTTGAACCTCCCACTATAGTATGGAGGGTATATTACATTTGTCTTTCCGTTTGTAACCCCTCAAAACATAGAGAGATGAATGAGATGAAAAAATTGCAACTAACTTCAGACTGCTGTCATTTCAAAGCCACTCATCCGAGAGCTGTTAAAATTAGTCCAGTGACAGCTCATTATATTTTTTACAAGCGTATAAAAGCATTTTGGTGAGAATTTTCCAGAAAAAAAGTTATTCGTGATGGAATTCAAGCCTGATATTGTATTATTTCTTTATATTTGGCTGGACAACCACAAGTGGCTAACCTTAGAGCACTCCAGCATTTAAAATGAGAATAAATCTTTTGTGTCTCGTACCATCGCCCGTTACCGTGATACTGGAAGCGTAGCCCGACGTCAAGGAAGTGGACGGAAGAAAGCAGCAACATCAGCAGAAATGGTTCGAAAAGTAAAGAAGCGACTTAATCGAATCCCCCGTCGCAGTGGCCGAAAAATGGCTCGTGAGTTGAACATATCGCAATATTCCATTCGGCAAATATTGAAAAATGAGCTCGGGGTAAAGCCATTGAAATTCAAAAAAGTGCAAGAACTTACACCGTAAAAGAAAGAAAATAGACTCAAAAGAGCTAAAGTGTTGCTTCGCTTGGCCGAAAGTGGTGAACTGCCGAATTCGGTTTTCTCCGATGAGAAAACATTTGTTGTCCAGCAGTTTGTAAACAAACAAAATGATCGTGTTTACTTGCCAAAGAGGTCAGCTGAAAATGTGCACCTTCGTTTGTCTGTCCAGGTACATATAACGGCACTTGCCGTTATTCGGTATTTTGATGATTTTAACGACATTATTCACAGATGTTTTTTCAAGTTTCGCATTTGAATATTGTATTGGCTTATGACAAAAGTTACCGATGCAGGTCCATGCCGTCGTATAAAACCTAACGTAACAGCTGCATTTGGAGTTTTTAAGATTTTAACAAAATTTTTAACGGGTTTTATTGTTTTTGAGAATTTCCAAATTCGTTCCAAATGGTGGAGGGTATTCAAAGTTCGGTCCGGACGAACTTACTGCTTTTTTAATAGTTTTCTGTATTGGGTGAAGTGGAATACTTTGGTCCGCTATATCTGATATCTCACGCACATATCTTAATTTTTCCAAGTATTATTGCATTTCTCATTTAAAGGTGAATGAAGTAGTTGATAAAGCCCAAATGTGGCATATTTATATCAGACTTAGGTCAGATACGAGATGGACAACATACCTTTATAACCTCCCCTATAAAAGGGTGGTGAACTCTGAAATCGGATGAACAGCAAAGGGTGTTTCAGGGTTTTAACCCCATATCGCAGATGGTGCTTATGTGGAAATCAAATGAGATTGATTGGCAGTGTATGAAAACCGGATGAGCGTCAAATTCCAACGAATATTGAACGTATTGCATTCATTTATGAGTTTTATTCAAATACATTTGTGTACAATTTGATCATCCTACTTCATTTCGTTTGGACTTTTGGTACGGAAAATGGGGCAAGTAGGTCCACGTTTTGGTATAGCCCCTATAAACATATACCGTCTGGGGGAGGACATAACCGTAAAATTAGGGTCTAACATATATTAAAACTTATCTCTCCCACAATGCAAATTGTGTATGCATTTTGGAAACAAAATTTGTCAATTCAAAAGTTTAAAATATACGCCCCTATTTGCCCATATATCAATAATTTTGCAAATTTAGAATTTCAAATGAATATGCAATTTACTTATGAAATTATCACTTTGCTTTGATGAGTTTCCGATTTGTTCGTTAATTCTTGTTAAACTAGAAGCTAACGGAGAAGCAACAAAATATATCATCGCTGCTACTAGAAAACAAATTTCGAAATTAGGCAGCATATAAAAAGGGAATACAGAAAGTCGATAATTATCAGTTAGTTTTGTGATCATCAAACATAACAAAATGAAATTCGCTGTGAGTATTGAGATTAAAAGGCCTTGATAGAAGGAAAATATACTAATCTATTGTTTTTCTTTTTAATTCCAGATTGTCCTCCTTGCCTGCCTTTTGGCTTTCGCCTATGCCAACGAAGAAGCTGAAGTTGTCAAGGAATTCTCCGAAGTCAATGCCGAAGATTTCAAATATGCCCTCGAATTGACCAACCACATCCGTGCCGAACAAGAAGGTCACTTGCAAGATAAGGACAATTGGCTCGTCAAGGGTGAATACGAATATGTTTCCAAGGATGGTAAACACATCAAGGTCACCTATACCGCTGATGAACACGGTTATCACCCAAATGTTGAACAATAAATAAATGAATAAATAATGGAAAATCTCAAGTAGCAAATTTAAATGTTTTTTTATACCCTCCACCTTGGAAAGGAGGGTATATTAACTTTGTCATTCCGTTTGTAACATTCTTAAATATTCGTCTTAGACCCCATAAAGTATATATATTCATAATCAGCATAAAATTCTAAGTCGATTTAACGATGTCCGTCTGTCTGTCTGTCTGTTGAAATCACGATACAGCCCACATTATTTGACGTAGAGCGCCAAAATTTGGCAGAGCTATTTGCATTGTGTCTAGGATGGTTGGTATTGAAAATGAGATATATCGGTCCACGTTCTGGTATAGTCCCCATATAACGGTACCTCCCGATATTCGGTATTTCGATGATTTATGCCACATTTTTTCACGGATTTGTCTGAAAATTGGTATTTGGTATAACGGGTCCCTGAGCGTGTGGCAAAACATTGCATGTATAGGTCCACGTTGTGGTATAGCCCCCATATAAAGGTACCTCCCGATATTCGATATTTTAGTTTTTTTGCCACATTTATTCACGGATTTATCTAAAAATTGGTATTTGTGGGTCATAATGGTTTCCAGCTCCGGTGGCGAAACATTGCATGTATGGGTCCATGATTTGGTATAGCCCCCATATAACGGTACCTCCCGATATTCGGTATTTTGATGGTTTTTGCCACATTTTTTCACGGATTTGTCTGAAAATTGGTATTTGTTGGTCATAATGGGTTCCAGCTTCGGTGGCGAAACATTGCATGTATGGGTCCATGATTTGGTATAGCCCCCATATAACGGTACCTCCCGATATTCGGTATTTTGATGGTTTTTGCCACATTTTTTCACGGATTTGTCTGAAAATTGGTATTTGTTGGTCATAATGGGTTCCAGCTTCGGTGGCGAAACATTGCATGTATGGGTCCATGATTTGGTATAGCCCCCATATAACGGTACCTCCGGATATTCGGCATTTTAATGGTTTTTGCCACATTTCTTCTAATGTTTCTTTTACCCTAAGGTGGAGGGTATTAAAAGTTTGGCCCGGCCGAACTTAATGTTTTTTTACTTGTTTCATTTTCGAAATTGGCAATTTGAAAACATATAAGTTATGATAGGATAATAAGGGAATGTTTATTACAAAATATGAGTTGGCAGAGACCAATTTTTATTCTGCGAATATATGATTTGCAAAATAGTAATTAAAAAATGTATGGGATAACGGTATAATTTTTAATAATTTGTTTTTAAAGTTACTAAGTAATTCCTACCTTGTGTACCCTCCACCTTTTAACACATCGAAATGTACATTTTAGACCTCAGAAGGTATATATCACCACAAAATTCTTTGTAAATTCAGCGATGACAGTCCGTCGATCTCTCTGTCCATCTGTCTAAATCACTCTAGCTTCCAAACGAAATATATTAAGTTGATAAAATTGTACTAATATGTGTGTTAGGACTACCTTACAATTTCCGAAGAAAATAATTTATGTCATAGAGAGAGAAAGGATCATTCGATTTTGCTCATATTTTGCATATCCCAATATTTTTTTTACAGTGGTCAATTTACACTCCATAAAGTAACTTTCCCACAAAGGGTCAACATATTGAATCATTATGACTCTCATGACGTCTGAAAGGTTGCGATTGTCTTCAAGTTTCGCGCATCTCAACATTTTTATCAACACATGATCTGGTATGAAGATGAACTATATCGGACTACTCCTTCCGGTAACTCCCCCACAACGGCTCAAAATTTTGAATAACCACGACGCTTATAAAGGGCGGAATTAAAATCCGATTAATTTAAAACTTGGCACTCTCTAATAGTTCTACCAACTCAAGATGATGGGGACACATCGGTGTGCTCCTTGTGGACCCTCCCAAACAAAGTGTCAGAATGTTGAATAAATTTATCTCTCATAAAATGCGAAAGAAACGTCCGATTCATTCTAAACTTCACACATTCCAATATTTATACTGACACAAGATCTGGTTTGATGATGACAGATATCGGCCCACGCCTTTTGATACCTCCCTGCAAAGCTGTCAAAATTTTGAATAACAAAACGCTCATAAAACCGGTATAAGCATCCGATTCTCTTTAAATTGCACACATCTAAATGATTTTACTGGTGTGATCTTCTGGTACCTTACATTTAAATAACAAACCTCTCAAAATGCGAAATAAGCATCTGATTCTATTTAAATATCACACATCCAAATATTTTTACCACAGAAGTGAAGGGGTTACAATTTTGAACAACCAGACTGCTCATTCAATTCTAAACAAGCGTCTCATTACTTCTAAACTTTGCGCATTCCAATATTTATACTAACACAAGACTTGGTATGAAGATGATAGATATCGGCCTGCCTCTTCTGGTACCTCCCCCACAAATTGTCGCAATTTTCAGTATTTTTATACCCTCCACCATACATAGTATGGTGGGTATATTAAGTTCGTCATTCATTTTGTAACTCATCGAAATAATCATTTTAGACCCTGTTGTAATCACGCTATAGCCTAAACGAATTAAGATTTTGCACAGAACTCCCTTTTGTTTGCAGGCAGGTCAAGTTCGAAGATGGGCTATATCGGTCCACGATATCGATAGCCCCCATATAACGGTAACCCCCGGTATTCGGTATTTTGATGATTTTAGCCACATTTTCAACGGAATTGTCTAATAGTCCACACAAGGAGTTCCTTGTGGGTGCTTTATCCCTTGGAAGAGAATTATCTATATAGCTCCACGATATCGTATAGCCCCCATATAACGGTATTCCCCCGATATTCGGTATTTTGATTATTTTAGACACATTTTTCAACGGAAAAATTCTACACAAGGAGTTCTTTGTGGGTACTTTACTTCCTGAAAGAGAGTTGTATATATAGATCCACGATATTGTATTTTGATGATTTTAGCCACATTTCCCAATATATTATCTGAAAGTCCACACAAGGAGTTGCTTGTGAGTACCAGACATAGATTTGTCTATATAGGTCCACAATATCGTATATCCCCCCATATATCGGCACCTTTCGAAATTAGGTATTTTGAAGATTTTAACAGAATTTTCAATAGATTTTATTTTTTGGAAAATTTCCTAATTCGTCCCAAATGGTGCAGGGTATTCAATGTTCGGCCCGGCCGAACTTACTGGTTTTTTACTTGTTATCTCTCATAACTTGTCAGCGATGCTTATCAAACTTGGTATATCTAAATATCTCTCTAAACTAGAGATCTGATGTGAATATGGAATTTATCGGCCAAATCGCACCAGATGGATTTTCCTCATAAAAGTACAACGCTATATATGGCACCTCACTGATATTTCAACACTAATGAATAAAGCAAAATTTTAACATGAAATTGTTAACGTTCCATTTATTTTTCCCAATTTTGAAAAAAGAAATAAGACGTTTTAACAGAAGCACTTGTTACATTTGTTATTATTTATTTTGAAGTCCTACCTCACATATGATTGTATCTAATAAGCTTCAATATGAAACACATTAATCGCTATTACCATTTAGAACAAGTTAAATTTAGTTGCGGATGTGAGGTGCGCCTGATTTTGCTAGTACTTTGTACATTTTTTTTATTGAAAAACATTAATGCCAGATTTCATATTCTTAGTATTGTTATAAATGCAGATTATTTGAAGATGCAGTTTAATTCATTAAAGCCATAATTCCATATTATATTGAACAGCAAAAACGATAATAAAATATTGGCATGTTGACAATAAGTAGGAATATATAACTGCTAACAAAGCTATGACACGATTATGCATGTTAAAACAATAAAATTCTTCATTTGCATAAAGTTTGAAATAAGTCACATTTGCACATGCACAGGGTGGGCCACAACGAAGCGATGAAATAAAAGGTTGGCAAGAGGAGAAATTGGTAAGCAACTTCATTTCATTAAACCTAGTAATAACAGTAGTAATAATAATAAACAAGTAAGCAAAGGCTCTAGTCGGGCGCGACCGACCATTTGATATCGTACAACAAGTTTCTTCAGATCTGAAACCCTTTTGAGTAGAATGAAGATGCCCCTAGGGAATTTCCCCATATCTACTGCATAACAAAATCAAATGCTGTACCTAATTGCTCCTCTTTACGAATAATCATCATTTCGAATAATATTTTGGTCTATTTTAAACCCTTGAAACAAAATGCTCCCAATCTGATCCTGAACCTCACACCATCCAACATTTTTTTTTATCGAGAAATAAGCTTCTTTATCCTTTATCTACCCAGAAATGTTAATAAGCTTTACAAATTGTCTGTGATCATTACATTTTGTTTTATTCAGATCACAAATAAATTGAATGTCAAATATGAATCAGATCAATCTCGGTGGGTGACATCTCCGCGTGGATGACATCTAGGCTTGTTTTCCGTGTTTGCCGTGGTAATCATGTTTGTCGGCACCAACATCAACTTTCTTCTTATCAACCACTGGACTGACGCGAACATACTTCTTAAGATCACCCACATGCTCCTTGTGATGGCCATGATCATCGAAATGGACATGATCATATTCGTGGCCTTGAACCTCATGATGTTCATGATCGTCATGATGACCGTGGAAGTCATGATGTCCATGTTCGTCATGATCGTCTTGATGTTGATTTTGATGTTCATCGTGATCATCATGGTGGCCATGACTTTCATGACCATGACCATGGTCATCAATGTGACCGTGGCCGTAATCGTGACGACCGTGATCTTCATGATGACCATGGCTCTCATAGTGTCCGGCCAATGCAAAGGCCAAAAGGCACACAAATACGATTATCTGCAAGAGGAATAACAATTTTAAACCTTACAAATTTTACACGATGCATATGAAACTTGAAACTCACAGTGAACTTCATTTTTGATAACTTCAACCGTTTCCTTGGGATTTACAAAATAAACTGCAAGTCCTTTTTGGTTCTGAAGTCTTTATATATTTTTGTTACTCTCTATAGGGAGATAATTTTTCATTGGTCAAGAGTAACAGAACCGGAATGTTTGATTTGTAAAATCCACGCCAGCAGAAAGCATTTATAAACTATTTACCCCGTGTGTAACAGGAAGACATTGCGAAGCAGTCACAACAAGAGGCATATCCAGTTGCCAAACTTCATCTTAGACGTTGCTTCGATTCGAGTTGAATGCGATTCTTCAAGTTCAATTATAACTGTAAAGGTGTGTTTTAGGGTGAATAAACTGGTGGAGACCGGTGGCAAACGTGAAGGTCAACCACATCATGTGGAGATGGTAAGGGGCCGAAGTTATGCCTCCTTCATTTGGTCATACATATGCATGTATGTAAGAATATAGAAGAAGGGGTGTGGTCATCATCTGAGAATGCATTTTAAGTTTGCAGAAGCATCTTCTTTTCGTTTTCCTTTAGTTTCCTTGATATAAACGACAGAAAATATAGTTTGAGCCATTTATTTTGCAGTAAAGTAAGATCTGTTTAATCTTTTTCCAACGTTACAAGATAAGAACTGGGTAAGACACGGTTACATATAGAGAGGTCAGTTTTTTACATTGATCTTTGCTGGCGAATAGTAAAACTTAAATTCTGTAATTTTAAAGATAAAGTTGTCTGCAAAATGAAAACTGCCAAAAAATGTGATATATCGATCCACCATTTCGTATAGCATCCACAGAAATATACCTCCCAATATTCATCATTTTGGTGATTGAAGTCTCATTTTCAAAGAGAATTGTTTCAAATTTTGTGTTAGGCAGAAAGTTGTCTATATACGTCAGTTGTTTTTCTGTAGCACTCCATCTAAATACCCTAATGTTCGATATTTATTTAATTTTAGTCAAATTTTCCAATGCAATTGTAAGAAATTTCGTATTTGTAGTTTGTAACACTACTACCACAGCTGGCGAATTTTACGTATCGGATGATTTTAACCACAAAAAACCAGTAAAAAAAAGATATTTCTTAGCTGTATTTGATATATTTCCCTGAATATCGTTGTTATGGAGTGCATACTACGGCTGTGGGTAACAAATATAACAAATCGGATGAACGGTATATATGGGAGCTATAGCTATATCTGAACCGATCTTCATCAAATTTGACATACTAGCTACTAGACTCAATAAGTGCCAAATTTCAACCCACTCGTAAGCGCCAAATTCTATCCCATTTGGACAAATATTAGACGTTTGGTGCAAAAAAGGTAAATCAGACGAAATTATATATGGGAGCTATATCCAAATCTGAACCGACCTCGATAAAATTTAGCAAATGTATTTCTGAGCTGTATTTGATATATTTCCCCAAATATTGTTGTTACATATTACGACTGCGGAGGAAAAAAATAACGGATGAAATATATATGGGAGCTATAGCTAAATCTGAACTGATTTCGATAAAATTTGGCATATTTATTTTCAGGTCCAATCTGATCGCACGTGCTGAATTCCATACCATTCGGGTTGATAACACACGTTTGGTGCACAATAAAAGGCAAATCGGACAAAGATATATATGGGAGCTATATCTAATTTTTGACCGATAATCGACGCGGAAGTTAGCGTGGGGCTAGAGTTCAGGGCTGGACAGAAGCCTTCCAATTTGGATGGTCATCGGATAATATTTAGTGGGAAATAGACCATAACATTTGTGTTAAATAAAATTCAAATTTTCTATTAAATCGCGAATATTTTAAATCCCGGCGAAATCACAAATGGACGAGAAGGTCAATTCTGACAGTTACGTAGATGCCGATAGTAAATATATCGGATATATATAGCGATATATAGCTCAGCGGATATATAGCTCAGCGGATATATAGCTCAGAATGGCTAGTCCTATTGTTTTTAAAGATGTCCGCAATATATTTAGGGGTTGAAATGGACCAGCAACTAAAAATGTTCCTAATTTTGCAACCGCTATAAAGGTCAGAAATAAAAACCAACGGACACGAAATCTCGCATGAAATTTGAGTTTAGGACAGCGGGTATTGCGGACCACAACTTTTGTGTGAAAAAATACCAACAGAAACGCTGAAAATAATCCAAAATACACAAAAGGCTAACTTCTGGTTTTTTATACCCTACACCACAAGGTGGTCAGGGTATTATGTCTTTGTGCATTTGTTTGTAACAGGCAGAAGGAAACGAGATAGACCCATAGTTCCTTTTGATGATCTGCATAGAATCACATTCTAAGTCGATTTATGCATGTCCGTCCATCCGTCTGTCCATGTGTTTTTGTAAACAAAGTACTGGTCGCATTTATTGTCCGATCCAGATGAAATTGTGCAAAGATCTTTTGTTTGGCCCAAGGACGAGCCCTATTGAAATTGGAGATAAGATATAGCTCCCATATATATCTTCGTCCGATTTGCCTTTTATTGTGCACCAAAAGTGTAATATCAGTCCGAATCTTATGGAATTTTGCACATACACCCAAATTAGGCCTGAAAATATTTATGCCAAATTTGATCGAAATCATTTCAGATATAGCTATAGCTCCCATATATATTGTTCATCCGATTTGTTATTTTTGTCCACCGCCGCCGTAATATGCACTATGCAACAACAATATTTGGGGAAATATATCAAATACAGCTCAGAAATACATTTGCTAAATTTTATCGAGGTCGGTTCAGATTTGGATATAGCTCCCATAAATAACTTCGTCCGATTTACTTTTTATTGTGCACCAAACGTCTAATATTGGTCCAAATGGGATGGAATTTGGCATTTACGACCGAATTGAGTCTAGAAGCTAGTATGTCAAATTTGGTGAAGATCGGTTCAGATATAGCTATAGCTTCCATATATATTATTCATCCGATTTGTTATATTTGTTACCCACAACCGTAATATGCACTCCGTAACAAAGATATTCAGGGAAATATATCAAATACAGCTAAGAAATATCTTTGCCAAATTTAATCGAGATCGGTTCAGATTTGTATATAGCTCACATATATATCTTTATCCGATTTCAAGTTAATTGTGCACCAAATGGGCAATACAATTCCGAATTTAAAAGATACAAATGCTTCGGCATATTTAGTCCTTTGAACTTTAAATTATAATTATAATCATAGCGTGTATGATTAAATTCTCCCATAAAAAACTTTTAATTGTTATGTGGAGCTCTACTAAATTAGCAAAGTGGTGTAGGGTATCATAAAGTCGGCCCCGCCCGACTTTAAGACTTTCTTTACTGGTTTATGCTGATTTCGTTGACGAATATACCCAAAATTTTGGGATAATCGCCAAATATAATCTAGAAGAAAGTTGTTATAGTTACTAACTCAAGTTACTAATAATTCAAGAACCGCTGATCTGATTTTAACGATTCATAAAATAAATAAATAAATTCGGAATTGTCACTTGGCAGAAAATAAAATGTACAATAGTAATGTTTTATTTTGCATGATTTCTTTTCATTTTGACTTACTATTTTCAAATGAACATTTGTAGTGTAGAACATTTAATATGATATGTAGTCTTTTGGGGAGTTAAAAGCGGCAACGGACAAAACTGGTATTTATACATTTTATGCATTTATTGGGTAAGTGAAACTGCACGAATAAAATCATTTCAGAAGAGGATAAGCTATGGACGAAAAAAAATCAATATTTTTTCAATTCAATTAACATTGTTTAATTGTCACGATTACTTGAGAACTAAAAATGCAAGCGGGTTATATAGAAGTGTAGTACGGAATCATGTGGTGGCGAAACTGAATATATGATGTCGAAATAATTTAACGCGGTTGCACCAAGGATAATTACTTTTACAAAATCGCTAAAAATCAAAACGAAAAGAGACTACCTCATTGCAAAAATTCTAAAATCGAGAAAAAATAGAAAAAAAAAAATTCAATGGATTCGAATTTCAAAATTATACAACATTCTATAGACAAACTTCGTAATTACCTTTAAACATTTGCTGTAAAAAATCAACGAACCAGTTGAAGATTTTTTTCAATTTGTTTTTCTTTTTTTTGAATGAGTGCGCAATTTGAGGTAAAATGGCGAAATGCGAACACATTTAAACAAAGAAAAATGACCGATAAAGCATTTTGGGGCCCATTTCGAAACGTGGACCTACTTCTTTCATATGACAATAATCCGTCCAATGAGAACTCAAAATGCAAAATTCATTGGGACTGCACTCAGTGAAATACCGAATATAAAGGATGCAAAAATAGTAGAGCGAATTGGACATTTAGTAAGAAAAGGATTTATATCATTCTAGAAATTCTTCCTAAACTTCAAAATACCTTAAATCGCTCATAACCCCCGTATAAAGGTACAACCTGACTTCAAGTATATTTTACATTTTAACCATTTTTTTTATACCCTACAACACTATGTGTTGGGGGTATTATAAGTTTGATTGGGCCAAAAATTATGTAACACCACGAAATATTGGTTTCCCACATAGGAAAGTATATATGGATCATCTTAGCTCGCCGAGCTGAGTCGATCTAGCTATGTATGTCCGTCCGTCCGTCTGTCCGTCTGTCCATGTTAATTTGTAATCACTCTGCAGGTCGCAATTATGGCCCGATCTTCACGAAATTTGGAATGGAGGTCGGGGTTGGGCCAGAATAGAACCCTATTTCTTTTTGAGATGATCGCCAAATGTTTAGGGGTTGAAATGGACCAAATACTGAAAAAATGTCGGATTTTGCAGTAGCTATACAGGTCGCAATTATAGACCATCGGATAATATTTAGCGGGTAAAATAGACCATATATTTTGTGTTAAAAAAATTCAACATTTTTCATTAAACCGCGAATATTTTAAATCCCGGCGAAATCACAAAGCCATGACAGGGTTACTTCTGATTTTTACATTGATGTTAACATCCAACAAATCGGATATATAGCAAAATA